CATTACAGCAATGCTGGGAGGAAAATCAAATATCAAATGACATCCACAGAACAGTCACAACAAAACCTGGTCTTTCATTTTCTCTTGAAGCCAATGGAAGCAGTAGTTCTGTTTGGCTTCTGAGGAAAACAAATGTTTTTAGGTCAGCTTCCAAAGAGTTTGTCTCATATCCCAAATAAAACCTTCAGCGAGCAATATCTGCACACTGTCACCTGACATGGGAAATGCCATCATCCCAACAGTTGTGCCACAACATTTACAGCTCCAAAACCCAAGAGCTGTTTCTAGGGATCATACTTGTTTGGGGTTTGTTTGTTAGTTTTGTCGGCTTTCTCTAACAAATGTAGTTTTCCCCAAATATAATCTATCTTGAGCACAAAGCTCAGGTTTGATAAACTGAGGTTTRTAGATCTATCTGTTGTCTCTTCAAATGCAGTTTGTTATCTCAGTTGTACTTCAKCACTAGGCAGATCCAGAAAAGGAACCAAATCTTTCAACTCCCACAGCCTACCACCTCCATCAGAAAGCACTTCAGCCATGCAGACATCGTGTTTTTCAGATTCTTTAATAAATTAGTTACTCCAAGAAWGATTCCTCCAGAAAGCTTATGCCAAAGCTGTTCCACTCCTGTAATAAGTCAAAACAAACTACAGTCATCTTTYACTCCCAAAAACTGAATTAACTTACAGCCTGTAATACATAAAGAAATCTGACATTCTCAGAAAGAGAGGCAAGGAAGGGAACTAAAACAAACCTCTGTAGCCCCCCCAGTGGAACACCACGTGAGCTCTGAGAAGATCTTATCCCTTGCTGTAACTGGAGACTGAGCAMCATCCCAGCAGTATCATGTGCCTTCACAGAGCACTGCTGGACAAACGAGCTGTGTTTTACTATCACAAATTTTTAGCAGCTCTCCATGCCTATTTTCCAGGTCCAAAGCTGACATTTCAAAATGCAATTTTAATGCTGCAAACAAGTTACAAGTAGAACTAAGGGGTCTCATGATAGCAAACACTTGAAATAATGTGGGAGTCAGATTTATTCAAGTTCTTGTAAGAGATGTTTAAGATTATATTGAAGACTGGCATTGGTCTCAGACACATCACTGCAGAAGAATGTCAGTGTTAAACTTGTATTTATTGAACTCCTGGCATTGTCCTGTTCAGTGCACCTCCACAATATTCACAGATGCCCTCTGCTGCTGAGACCAAGGAAAAAATTACACAAATTCTAGATAAGTCATCAAATTTAAAAAATACATTTCCTGACACTATGTGAAAGTCTATTAAAGATTTACAGCAGGAACTTCTAAAACCTCTGCCTGTACCAACATCATTCCTAAACAAATCCCCATGAACTTTGCTTTACCCTGCACACAGCCCAGACCCTGAGAGCACAGGCTTTCCCCCRTCCCTGCCAGGTACTGCTGAGAGCCAGAGCACACAGGGGCAATCCAGGGAAAGTTCCAGCCAGGGCTGCAGTGCAGAATGAGATGAGCAGCTGGATCACAAGCCAAGAAGCCTCCTCAGTGCTGCACATTCCTGCTCTCAGATAGAAGCCACAAATCCTAACGCCTCTGCTCTCCTTTAAGCAGTTGTAAAATTTACCAAATTATCCCAGGGTGCCACCATTTTTGGCAGCAATCTTGATTTAGGCAACCATCACAGCCCATCCAGCACCAGGACAGAGTGCTGCACATCGTGCAGGAGTGATAACTCCAGTGAACCTGCACCAACAGGGATTTCATCATCTGCTGGACTCAGTCCTCCCAGCAGCACCATCAGGTCACTGCCACCTCCCCACTGCCACCTCCCCACTGCCACCTCCCCACTGCCATCACCCCCTTTCCTCCTAAGAAAAAGCACCATACTTCAAGGTAGCTCCCTATTCTGGCAGCAACTGTTTCAATTTCTAATGCAGAGAAAAGAAGTCAGTGAACCACAGGAACATAGCAGCTGGTTGACACAAAATAATCTTATGATTTCACTTCTGTAATTTCACACGGCAGATTTATTCCAACCTAACTGCTTGAATACATGGCTATGGATGCAAGCCCACAGGATAAACTTAAGTGAAAAGAAATACCTTTTTTTTTCCTTTTGATTTAGTGTGACAATCACTTAGACTGCACAAACAAGCACTTATAATTCAGGACATAACAACCATAACTTCTTGAGCAATTTTAAMTGGCAMATGTTCAAGCACATACAATCAAGCYGAACTCRACCATGTAACTTAAGAGCTGCCCCAGCTGACAAGTCCTCACTAAACATTCAGCACTGACAGTGYTCAAGAGAATGAGTCAAAACCTTTTCATGGACAAAACTTGTCCTCACAGGCTTTGCTTATTTGAGGAAAAACACAAGAGCACAGGCAGTGAACAAGAAACAAAAAATCTTCCAGCTGAAGTACAACACYGGACCACGTTTTACCTGTTTTTCATTCTAATCTATTAATCATGTCACAAACTGGTGTTGTGATCTCAGACTCTGCACTCCAAAGCCAGGTTTTATTTGCTTACTTGCTCTGTGCCAGGCATTTGCAGCTCTCATTACCAGTGATAACACTGCCACTGTTTTGAATGTTGACGTGGTAAYACCGTTGGCAATACCAGGGCCTAATTTAGATGCACAAGCAGTACTATAGGAGGTAGAAGAGAAAAAGAAATGTAACTAGAACACTTGGAGCTGAATTAAAGTGACACATTGGTGATTGGGATCCTACAACTTGCCAGTTACCTCATCTATAAGACAAAACAATGTAACGCAGTAAGGTTAGGCTGCTTCAAGAATATAGACATTAGTGTGGTTTTCATACCTTAGAAATTTGGAGCACTAAAAAAACCAGTTCACTTGCATAATATTCATTAGATGTTCAACAAATGTGCTTATGGCCCCTTTGATCTTGCTCTGCATCAGCAGCATGTCAAATCTTCCCAGCAGCCTTTCATGTTGTCCCAGACAGCTTATCAACCCCAAGCAAAAGCAAAACTCAGTGCTCAACCCAGCCCTATTGTTTCTGCAAAGATACAATTGTGCCATCATAGGTTTTTCTCCAATAAAAAGATCTTTTTCTYCAATAAATAGATCTTGAAACTGTTCAAAAATCATTGTTCTATCACCAGAGCTTTATGTAGATATGATAACTGTTTTTAACAATATGACTTCTTACAAAAAAAGTCATTCTAGCAAACCTCGATGCTCCTACCAGGACAATGGAGTTTATTGGGCAAATATTTTCATTACTATCATATATACACACACATATACACAYAAYATCTAATTAAAACTCACGTATATATTTGAAGGCTTCAAAACAAAAAGAGAATTTCACACAAACAGACTCAGACAGAAATATAAAACGGTGTTACCAGTACATGGTAAGTGTAACTTGTATTAGAGAAACACCAGGTGTGCTGCCACACACATTGCCAGAAATCCAACCGATTTTTCATGATTCTTTCTTGTTTAACCAGTTTGTGCTTTGGATTGTATTAACAGAATAAAATCATGTCCCACAGGACACCATGCAATCTGGGTCCATAATCCTGTTGTCAGAGAGCAGGGTCTCCCATGAACGAGCTGTTTGGGCTGTGGGTTTAGGGCACAGGGCTTCTGGAAACAGTGCCTTTGTTACCAAAACAGACCACTTAACTCCTGCTACAATGTTTTCTTTTCCCCTCTTGCGCTGCTCTCAAACACACACACAACCCCATTCACAACAATCACAGCGTTTCTGAGACGACTCTCTACAATCTGCTTTACAATTATCCATTCTAGCCTGGCTTCATCTACAAAGAGACAATCCTAGGAAATAATCACCCGGATCTTCCCTAGGAAAGACTGCTTGAAGTGTTCCTTCATCCCTGCATGGACAGATTCTGGGAATATTTCAACAGTGGATGTGAAGCAGTTCATGCCTTTAACACTGTTCTAAACCATTCAAATTTCAGTGAAATTCTGTCCCAGATGCCACCTACATTCATCTTAACACTCTCAGACTATTACTCCTGAGCTACAGACTCAGTCATCACTGAAAATCAAACTTTACGGGAGCAGTATTGCAATTTAAGCTGGAAAAGAGCTGCAACTTGCTGCGTTAGGGGCAGGAAATGTGGCTGAGCAGAAATAAAGGAAGAAAAGATAGTGAAAAGGGGCTTTTTGACAACGGGCACTACTTTTAGAAACTGATCTTATCTCAACCTTGCCACAGTCTCACTTTACATTCCTGCAGGGCCCAGCAATAAAAGCTATATATTAACTGATGAACACACCAGTGTCACCTCAACTGAAGGTGGCTTAGAAGCTCAAAGTAGAAAAGCAGAAAAACTGGTGATTCATTCAATAACTGTGTGGCTGGGATAGATAAAGCCCAGGAGAATGTTTAAACTATAATACATTCACATTATAACTTTAAGTACTTCAGGAAAATTGATCACTCTCATCCTTTTCCAAAGCTTCCATAAGTTTTTATAAATTACACAGAWCATCTCTAAAACAGGAAGTGTTCTTTCTAAACTCTTTCTCTGTAAAAGTTAAATGCCACATAGAAATAAATAATTCAGCAAAAATTATGTAAAAGTTAATGAGAATCACCATCAATACTTCTCATCCCAGCTGTGCTCCTAAACCTGATGATTACCTTTATTTTAGCACAGACAACAGTTTAATAGAAAGAAAACAGCTTATTTTATCATCACTAAAAAGGAAATAAATGCTAATCATCTCCTGAAAAAGTTGCTAAACATGAAAACAGCACAGKCTAAAAGACAAACAAAACAAGCAGGATACCAGAAGAATCAGATTACAAGTYACAAGCTCCTATCTGATTTGTTTGCCTTAATTCTAAAGAAAACAGATTTGCACACGAGTTAAATCCAGTTTTCTGTCCAAGTACAGGAATCAGAGGGCACAGACGTTWAGCATATGTATTATTACTCTACAGAACAAAATTTAAAATGCACCAATTCACTTACAGGGAGTTCACCATGTGTTACTTACTTTGATCAGCATAGTTTTTCGCTTTTAGTTCAAGTTGTCGAGTTTGTGACTCTAATGCTTCCACTCTGGTCTGTAAGTCCTTTTTCTCTTGYTCTTGAGAATCTTCAAATTCAATGAATTTCTAAACAACAGCAAAATAGTTAAGTTAGACTAAACAACTAATTATAAGTTTTACAGCAGGTAGGAAGCAACACAGCAGCCTTTCACAGCTAGGAAGGTGCAAGAAGGTTTCCAAAACAACTGAACAGGTCCACATTTAAACACAAAGAATTATTTCAGGACAGGTCCATCAGTCAAGCACTCAGCCTAGGTTGCCCTGTGTAATAATTATCAACTAAGTGCCAGCTACTCTAGAGAACCTGCTTGGGATTAACCTAAATATGAATTATTTCATTGTCTAATTTAATGTTCAACTGCCAACAGTGCATGTGAACACGGAGTCTCTGCATCCTTAGTTTGACTGATCATTAGTGAAGTTATTTTCACCCAAAAGCTACAAAAGTACAGACACTGCAATAGGGACACACCAGCAGCAATACCAGCCAAAATCATACATCTTTTCCATTCCYACCCAATTCTGCTATAAATTCTCATACTCTTCATCAAATCCTTAATAACCATCTGCAATCTGTCAACTACACAGAAAATTCCACRACTGTGCTGATCACCATCACCTTCTGTTACCTTGGTTTACCRCCTTTGTGTCACACCCTATTCTGGWGTTCACTGATAAATAAATCAGTGTTTACACTCCCTGACATTAAAACTACCAACACACTATCACAGCAGCTTTAAAAACACTTTTTTTTTTCTATTTATCTTATCCCAAAATTTAAYTAATTTGGTGTGTATTGCTGGCATTATGAATGCTTGTAATAGCCAGAGATGTTTTAGGTCATGCAGTACTCTGTGCTCTGCATTGCAAGAAGGCCACCAACACAAGTTATGCACAAGGCTCATGGAACAGGGAGAAAAAGTGGACCAGAAACCTATGCAGGAAAAGAAACATCAAACCCAAGACAGTTTAAAGGGTCAGAAAGGCAGCTGAGGACCACATGGAAGAAGAGCGACAGTAGAGTCAGCAACTTTAAAAAAGTAATGTGATTTGAATATTTTTTCCTATGTATTGSTAGGAAAATTCAGTGGGAAAAAATATTTCAAATGCTCACACTTCAACTGTTAATAAAGTACTACTACATTTTAGCCAGTGTGTTTTAGAGCTTTTACAAAAGCAGTAATCTGTAACCTTATGAAAAGGCCTCGGTTTAGAAGGGTCATCAGAAGAAGTTCAACTAAAAAGTACTTCAGATGTAGAAATGGAGCAAAATCTATGAAGTGGAACAAGAGATCCTTTCAGACAAGCTCTGCTCAGCTATCACAGGACAGGCATGGGGTTCATATGACTGTGCTTGAAGCTAAACCACCACAAGATTGAGGAACAGCTGACTCAGCCCAGGTAGCAAAGTTTGGGTGCTGCCATTGAAAATCCCTCTTCAAAAACAGCTGCGCAGAAATCTTTCTACCCCCTCCACATAAAGTTTGGGAACATTAATTAGTCAATGTAACATTGAAAACCTCAATGTTTAAGCTTATTTCATTCTTTGTAGTAACTGATTCAAGACTTTTGCCCCTTTTACATTCAAGTCATGTCTGGCCTATTCTTAGCAGACTCCCTTTTCAAAAAGGGCTTCAAAGTTTGAGGCAAATTTGGCACTGGGCCTAAAGACCAACGCAGTTTGTTACACCCAACATGGGAAAACATGAAAGAAGAATTATAAAACTGTAACATCTTTGTTTAGTTGTTTCTCTGATGATTTCTCAAAAAGTCAGACATGTCTCATAGCTTGCAAAAGGCCAGGGACAATTATACTCATGAATAACAAACAGYCATTCAAAGCCATTAATGTCATTGTTACTCATGAAACTAAAGATAGACATAATTTTGTATTTCCTYTCAAATTCTTCAACTGTAAGTGATAAAACTGGTTTTGTCTAGAATAGTTCTGTTACCTTCCAGTAGYTTACCTTCATTTTGTTAAAGTTCAAACCTACATTAACAAGTTTAAAAGCATTACTGTAATTACAGCTGAGTATTTTTCCTTCCCTTCTGTAAACTACAGCTGATCAAATCTTGGGATTTAGAACTTAGGACTTTGAATATTTTTATTTGGTTTCATTTCTCCTTCTGGTGATAGTACAATCACAGACACAGCCCCAGCAGATTGATCATCACATCCTGACTAACCCTGCATGAGTATGACAGAAGAACTGGTCAGATAAACCACCACAGCAGCCAAGGACAGACTCAGCACCCTTATTACAAGACTTTTTTCATTTACATTGAGAATATACTCAAATCCTGTGTATATCCTGCATTTAATGTAATTCCAGCAGCTATGTAGGAACTTATTAGCCATTCAGACATCCTCTTATTTCAACCCCAGTTACTGGTTATACAAAACACTGAGGCAGACAAAAAAAATCTCGTTTACCTCATTTTAAATTATGTAGGGCCACAAAGATGTATCTTAAAACTCTAATGAGAAGCGAGATTTTTGGTGCTTTTTTTTTTTTTGAAGAACAGGCTGAAGGACACCAACCTGTCTTTAAAAGAATCAGACCAAATTATATAAGATTACAGAAAATACAGCTGGAATGATCTTTTTAAAAGGTCATCTTGTTTCCAGGTTCAGATGCTCAGTGTTGATGTCTGGATGTTGATTTTGATTAGGCTATGATGAGGTGCAACACAGGATGTGATGCACAGCTCCTCCTGCATGTGCCTGCTGCTGAAACCAACCTGTGATACCTTCATCAGCTATGTTTGGCAACTCCCATTTAATCCGCCCCATTTTCCCCAGGCAGGATCAACTATGTTATTTCAAACCTTTGTCCAACCTGTTCTTAAAGACCTCATCTAAAAAGTGGGAAAAAGTCCTTGACAAACTAAACTCAAAAACCCTTATGTAATCAATTTTAAATCTCTTTGGAAGATTGCAGCGAYAATTGCAACAAACATAAACTCAGACTACACAACAGCTCTGCGCATTTGGATCCCTCTGTCCTGCACAAAACCACTGCAACACCCAGTAGCACATTATTAGCCAAATGAAATATTTCTTCCTATATTTATGTCATCTTCTGACTCTTCCTATCTTGACTTGTTTTCCTGTCTCAGGAGCCAGGTGCAATGCTGARCGTATCTGATGTCAGGGTGCCACCCACTTGGCAATCTTTATTACTCCATGACATGTCCTTCAGCAATGTGTATTGCAATGATGCCAGATGCTCAGCCAATGGCAAGATTTTTCCTTGAGCAGGGAGAAAAAAAATCACCTAAAAAGCCAGCTCAGATGGACTTGGGGCCCAGAAAAACAAAAGAAATTGAAAACAACCTGAYAGCTGAAAAATAGTGTGGAAGTTTTCTGTAAAATGGATCTTGGTTTTGTTCTCTCAGATGAAAAATACTTCAACTCTCACTGCAGAKTGTTTACTTAACATACAATCCTAAGGAACAAAGTTACTTCTGGGAACAGTAAGAAAAAGCAGACATCAAGTTCACGCTACGACTTAAACCAATTTTAGCGGTGGTAAATCCTTTTTCATGGCTGCAAAAGATTTCAAAAACAGCTTAATCCCACCAACAGCAGCAAAGCTAAAAGATACACTAACTTGGCATGGCTAAAGGCAGTAGATTTTATCCTGTTTCCAACACAAAACACCTGCCAGCTGCAAGCACAGGTCTGGAGCAGCACGCTGCTGCAGAACTAACTCTCACCAGGGTATGAAATAGCAGAAGCCCAGATGCTGGTTCCTCTCCCACTTCTTTGTGGCAGGAATTGCTGCCTCACAGTCACCAAGTGGGAAGGTAAGTTATGCAGAACTGGAAGCAGAACAGCAGAGCAGCTGCTTCCTCTATTCCTTCAGCAAGATCACAAAACCCATCATGTTAAAAGGCAGACAAGGGACCATAACTGTTACCCAGAGAGTTGAGAAGTAGGCCCAGAACTTCTGTCAAGGTGACTTAAAAAAAAAATATTTCAGAAATCCACTGGCAGCAACTTTCAGGATRTTTCTTTAGTAACACTTTTAGAGCACAGGAAATAAAGAAGGCAAATTAGGACAATGGGGTAAGGAGACACCAACTCAAATAGTAAACTATTAATGTTCATTAMGATACTGCTGCAAATGAAATTTCCTAGAACAGTAAGCAGAAAGTGAAATAATTGCCCACAGAAGCTCTGGTTGCCCCGGTTGCCCCATCCATGGAAAAGTCCAAGGCCAGGCTGGATCATGCTAGGAGCAATTTGGGACAGTGGAAGGTATCCCTGCCCATGGCAGGGGGTRGAATGAGATGARCTTTAAGGTTCCTTCTAACCCAAACCACTSTGTAATTCTATGAACAGATGATAAATATTGAACTCAGTAGCTCAAAATTCTCCATTTTGCACCAGACAAAACAAGCAACCTTCACAACAAAAGAAAAGAAACGCACTAAGCCAGCAACTTTTTTTCAAGAAAAGTAATCTTCAATTTCTATTCCCTCCTTTTATTTCACCAATACTGCACCCATCAAGTTATGTCAGCATTAAAAAAAAAAAAAAAACCAACAACCACGCCTGACTAACACACGTGCCTCTCCACACATGCCAGGCTGTACCTGACACTTTCACACCTGTACAGAGCAATGACCTCAGCACATCACAAAAACTACCTTTGTGCCTACCAYGAACACACGGTCTTTGGTCTAAGTGCACTTTGGAAAGCATCAGTCAGCTGTCTTGCAGCAGGAGCACTGGTTCTGAGACTGCATAATGCCTGTCTCCTCAAGTTAATTTATCATGACACACAGAAATGGAGATGGCAGTGAAGCACAGCACCAATACAGGCACCTACAGCTCCTCAAGAGCCWCAACAATGTAATTAACCCCATGCTCTGCTTCATCATGTTGGTGCTGTTTCTGTCCTGCTGCCCAAGGCCTGCTTTTTTCAATCTGGCAAATGCTGTCAGATTGAAAACCTGATGGATTTKCTCATGAATTAATTCAGAAAGTATCAGTTCCTTCCTATTACTCTCAACAGAAACATATTTTCTGAAAAAGCCCTYCACATGCAGCTTGTGTCAGAAATAGTGTGGCAACAGTCCCCTGCCTGCAGTCTGTAAGGCACCATAAAACCACCACATGTCTGGCAAGGAGGATGAATGGTCTGTCAGTCCAAGAGCTGGGGGGACACCATTCATATCACAGCACTTCACAACAACCTAAATCCTGGAATAATCTGCAGACAACACTTTGCACTCATTCATTATGGAAACAAATATTTGTATAGGGCTAATGTTTTTCAAATTAAGCTTTCGCTGTCAATAGTGTCTTCACCCTCAGTGTGGTTATCCTTCCGATTTTTGGAAAATTTAGAAGGTAAGCAAAACAGAGAGATAAACACAGGACAAGAAGTCTGGAAATAGACTTGTAAGATGGCTTGTTCTATTACAGATAATGCTGCCAATCCAATTTCCTTCAGGAGTTTGGCAAGACAATGAGCTGGAGGAAGTTATCCTGCACAGCTGTTTCCTATTGTATTGCTTTATAATCCCACAGAAGATAACGCCTTGCAAGTTTATTTATACTGAAGTGATTTTCAGTACAAAAACTGAAATTAAAAACRTCCAACATCCCAAGTCAGAGTCGTTGTCATTGGAGAGCCCACACCACCTGTTGMTGCCTGCAGCTTTATGTACCAACTCTGAGGAGCTTCAGCCCAGACACTGTCCATTTCCACGGTTTTTGCAAGGCGCTGTGGCTATTTTTTTACAAAAATGGCAAATGTGCCTCCCTGCGCGGGGAGCATCCCGCGGGGCCGTGACAGCGCAGGCAGCKCACGGTTCCATGTTCGCTCCCTTCCCGCGGCCCTGCCGGCACCGCAGCGCTCCGCAGAGCTCACCGGGACCGCTGCGGGACCAACCGCTCAGGGCACGGCGGGCACACAGAGCCGCACGGACCGCGAGGGACTCCCCGCCCTCCTCCACCTCCTCCTCCTCCTCCCGAGCCACGTCGCGACCTCAACTCATCACCGGCAGCTCCGGCCGGGGCAGCCCCGGTTCTCGCTCCCCGGCGGGGGCTCCCGGCGCCGCCCCGGGCGGGCCCAGCGCGGGAGATGCGGCCGCCCCCGCGGAGCCGCCCCGGCCCCGGCCCCGGCTCCGCGCCGCGCTCACCTCCTCGGCCTGTTTGCGCAGCGCCTTCTCCCGCTCGTACTGCGTGAGCAGCTGCTCGTTGTCGTCCCGCAGCAGCTCCAGCTCCACGCTGGTCTCCTGGCTGTGCGCGCACACCGAGTCCAGGTTCTCCAGCACGGCCACCACCAGCGGCATCAGCTCGGCCACCACCTCCTCGTCGTAGCGCCCGATGAGCCGCTCGAACTCGCGGTAGATGGAGCCCGCCAGCCCCGACACCCGCTCCGACATCATGGCGGGGCCGGGCCCGCCGGGGTCCTCCTGGTACACCACGCCGTCCGCCAGCTCCATGGCGGCGGCGGGGGCTGCGGGGGCCTGGCGCGGCCCGGCGGGCGCTGCTCGGAGCGGCTCCTGCGGCGGCGGCGGCGGCGGAGCCTCGGCGGGGCCGGGCGGGGAGCGGCGCGCGCCTCTGACCTCACCCGCCGCGCCGGGCGGGGCCTGAAGGGACGGCGGCGCGGGGGCGGGGCCTGGGCCGTGACGTCAGCGCGGGGGGCGGGGTCTGCCGGGTGATGTCATCCAGGGGCAGGGGCTGTGTGACGTCACGGCGAGTCCCCCTCTTCCCGCCAAGGCGGTGTCGCGAYTGGGGACAGGGCGGGTGACACCGGGAAGGGATGGGGGACACGGCAGGGGGCAGGAATCACCGAGCCGGCAAGATGGGAAGAGATCCTTAAATGGGTCTGGAGCAGAGTTCCTGTGAGGGGCGGCTGAGGGAGCTGGGAGTGTTTGCTGTCGACAAAAGGAGGCTCAGGGTGCCTGAGGGAGCTGGGGGTGTTTGCTGTGGAGAAAAGGAGGCTCAGGGTGGCTGAGGGAGCTGGGGGTGTTTGCTGAGGAGAAAAGGAGGCTCAGGGTGGCTGAGGGAGCTGGGGCTGTTTGCTGTCGACAAAAGGAGGCTCAGGGTGCCTGAGGGAGCTGGGGGTGTTTGCTGAGGAGAAAAGGAGGCTCAGGGGTGGCTGAGGGAGCTGGGGGTGTTTGCTGTGGACAAAAGGAGGCTCAGGGGGTTCCTCATCGCTCTGCAGCTCCCTGACAGGAGGGGACAGTTGGGGGGATCAGGCTCTGCTCCCAGGGAATGGGGACAGGACAGGAGGATATGGCCTTAGGCTGCACCAGGGGAGGTTCAGGTTGGACATCAGGAAGAAATTCATCCCCAAAAAGGGTGATTGGCACTGGAATGAGTTGCTGAGGGAGGTGTCACAGTCCCTGGAGGTGTTTAAGGACAGATGGGATGTGGCACTCGGTGCCATGGTGTGGGTGACACTGGGGTGCTGGGTCATGTGCTGGACTCAGTGATCTCAAAGCTCTTTTCCAATCTCAGTKATTCTGTGRCTGTCACCCAGTTTGACCATCCATCGGCACTGCYGCTGTAACCCCYAAACCACATCACCCAGCCCTGGGTCCAGACRCCTCCAGGGTGGTGACTCCACTCAGTAAAATCTTTAACATCTGTTCTGAATCTCCCCTGGCTCAGCTTAAGGCTATTTCCCTGGTCCTGTCACTGCAGGAGCAGAGCAAAAGAGCCCCATGCTCACCTCCCTTCACCCTCCGGGCAGTAACTCTAGAGAGCCAYGAGGTCACCCTGAGCYTTCTCTTCTCCAGACCGAACAAACCCAGCCTCACAAAACACATTTTCTAGTCCCTTTATGAGCCAGCACACACTCCACCTCCTACATAACATTAAAAAAAGCACCCCTTTTTGCAGTGAGGGGCCCAAAACTGAGCACAGAAATGCCAAGAGCAGAGGGACAATCACTTTCCTGGTGCTGCTGATCTCGCTATTCCTGACAAGATATTATCCTGATCCAGGCCAAGATACTCCAGGTCACCAGGGTGAACATCAAAGCCCTGGCACTGGGGGTGGAGGCTCTGGCAGCAGAAAGTTTGGTCCCTTAAGTCCCTCAGTGTGGGAGTGAGGTGGGGATCCCCCGTGCAGGGCAGAGGTGAGGCCATGCAGTCTGACAGCTCCTGGGGAATTTGTTTATCACACCCACAGAGGCACAAATAGCTTGAGTGATTCACTGAGGGATGACTGGAGGAGTTGGGATTTTAGCTCCCRCATTTTGGGACTCCACAGCTCCCAAGCTGTGCCCGGGGCTCTGTGCTGGCTGGTGGCTGGCAGCAAAAAGGCATTTCCTTTCTAATAAGGTCTCCAGATAATATCAAAAATCTCTGTTTTCTTAAAAATAGCACAGCTCAGAAGGCATCTTACTAAGAGAGATTGATTTTCCTGGGATTTGGAACAGGGAGTTCCGCTCTGGATCGTGTGTTCTGTCACGGGAACAACGGGAGCTGTTACAGACATTTGGAATAAAATGCCTACTGAGACTGAAAATTCTCTGAGTTAATTCACATCCCTCATTTCTTTCATGGGGTTGTTCAGGTTGGAAAAGCCCTTTAAGGATATCAGGCCCATCCATTAACCCAGCACTGCCAAGGCCACCACTGACCCATGTCCCCAAGTGCCACATCTGCTCATCTTTCAGATGCCCTCAAGGATGGCAACTCCACTACAGCCTCTGCCAGGGCTTTACAGTGCTTTTTGTGAAGAAATTTTTCCTAATATTCATCCCAAATGTCCTCTAGTACAACTTCTGTCCTAGAACCCAAACCTGGGGAGATCAGTATTTTTCCTTAGGTGAGATCACACACGCAGGGAGCTGAGGAACCCGTGCAGGAACAAAGAAATGAGAGCTCAAAAAGAAGGCAGAAAGCTTGAGAAGGGGKGGAATTTTAGCTGTGGTGATTACATTCAGCTCCACTGGAGAGCAGCAGAGCCTTGCTCTGTATTTTCTCTCATTTGGAYGGGTTTAAGGCAGGAACTGTGCTTTAAATGCATGTGCTGCCTTGTCTTTTCGTRTCCTGAGCCAGTGAGCCTGCGCAGGAATGACAAAGGAGAAAATACTTCAGCCCTGTATATTTGKTTTCTTGTAAGTCCTGTTTAGACATCATCATCCTCCCAAGCTAATATTTAACGTGGTGTGGCCAGGGCACGGGCGGCTGAAAGACAAATTTATTTATAAACGTGGCAAAAGGAAAGAAAAGCTGTTTGCCTTTTGATTGTGACCAAAACATGACATCATTTCAGCTAAAAAATTGTTTTTAGAAGACACCATGTGTRCTCTCACACATCTCAAGTGGAATTGACATTTTAAATCATTGGAAATTATTGCTMTGGAGGGATTATTCTTTCCTGTTTCTTTTCAGCAGTTGGCCACTGAGAAAAACAGCAATGCCTCTGTGTTTTGCCTGCTGTCTGGCACAGATCAGAGCCTTTYCCTGAAGCACGAGGGCTGAGTGGATCCCTGTGTCTGGGTTTCTCCCTTCCTTGAGGTCATACATAGTTCCCCATTCACCTCAGTGATTTGTGTTGTAGAAGGCACTGAGACCCTTTGGGGTAAGGGGTTATTGATGGGTATTTCTTCTTTTCTGAGCCTGAACAGACCTTGCAGGAAGGCTGGGAACGGCTCCAACAGGGAGGTAACTCCATGCTGCTCCTCTGATGTTTTACAATTTAATTTTCTCCATTTCCATGTCTCTGTACCCCTGGAATTCTTCAGTGTTTAACTCCAGACTCCACAGACAGTGCTGAGCTCCTGCTCTCCCATTTTSACACAAAACAATTCCTCTGCAGCCCCAAACTCAAGGACACCTCCCTGTGCCAGRCCCCAAGAGATGGAAACAACAGAGAATTGGGGGAGCCAAGTTGGAGTTTTTGACTGCATTGGCTGCAGCTGCAATTGGAGGATTCAGCCCCGATGTGCAAATGGACAAAAGTGAGAAAGGGTGAAAAACCCGTGAGCCATTGTCCATTGTGGGTGCAGCCCCTGGCTGGGCTGGGACTGCCCTCAATGGCCCTGAAGGCCCTGCCATGAACAGAACTGCTTTGGATTCTCTGAATTCTGCCCAACCTCTGGTTTAGGTAAGCCTTGATTCAGGCATCACCCAGACAAGGCAGCCAGGACACATTGCCAAGGATTTTAAACCTGGGCCTCACCACGTTCCTGAATAATCTTGTATAATGTGAGGACAGCTCTGAACACCCCAGGTTTTTGTGGGGATGAAAGTGCCAATGCCCTTGAATCTGGCAGAGCCCCTGTTCTCTGTGTTTGCAGTCGCTGCCGCCCTGCTCGGCAAAAGGCACAAACACATCCGCTCRAGGAGGCGTGTTCTGACAGACGGCAGAAATGGGTCAAGGTGTCTGCTGCCAAAGGGGTCTCTGAGGATGCGCTATTTTTATCCTGTTTCTATCAGCAAAAGGGGGAGAGGAGGTTTTCCTTCCCGGGCAGAGTGGGAGCATCCCGGAACAGGCTGGCTGCTGCCACTAGAGGGGCAGTCAGAGGGACAAGCACAGGTAAAGGGGCCGCTTGTGCTCGTGTTTCATTTCCAGCCATCTGGGGGTTCTCTAACCAGGAAAAAATAATATTTTAAAATATGAACAGTAGAAAAATTACCTGGCAGACAAGTCTAAGCGGGATAAAAGTATATGTTATTGACAGTCTTAACACAGTGCTCATATTTTTATGCATCTTGCTGTCAGTGTGAGGTCACAAACCCAGCAGTGGATTAAAAATAGAAGGAGGAATGGAATGATGTTCTACTTCCCTGCCAGGAGATTAAGGGACCTTGATGAGCTGTCAATTTAGCACACTGATCAAGCACATGGAACAGCCCAAAGAAACCTGATAGTGCTGCCTTAGTACCTCCAAAGTCGTGGTTCTGTTTGGTAACAGTGGAGTACAATTCCAGCACATTCTAGTGGAAAAAACAGACTGACAAAAAATTTTGTTTTCTGGGTAATAAGTAAAATTACATTACCTATCCCTAGAAACAAMAGTTAATTTGAAAGTGAATTGATTTGCAATTTACTGGGGAAGAAAATCAGCCCTCAGATCACTCTGGGGTTAAAAAAGCTWAACTGGGACTTTACCCAGAGGAAGAAATTTTTGTAAAAGCCTAATTCTGTGGTGCTTTATACCATAAAGCACAGCASAAATGAAAGTAAAGATTGATGGATGATAGCAGCACTCAGTTAAATGAAGAGTAGGCTGTCCTGGAGCAACAAAATATGTCAGAGTGAGGGCTGTGGTTAGAAGCAGCACAAGGGGCACAGCACAAAGTGTGAGTTTTGATGAGAAACCCGAATATTCTGGGTGGTACTGTGTACAGACTGAGGCTGTGTGCTCAGCTCAGTGTGAAGCTGGGGCTGTGTGAAATTCTCCTGAAGTTTAGACACATTCACAGTCAGTCTTTTACCTCAGACCAGTTTTAAAAATCTCTACTAGTTTTAAGTAATGTGGAAATGATTTGAGCTCAGCAATTGTGGTTTACTCACTGAGGACTTTGAAAGTGTTTCCTTCTCTCCCATGATCGGTCCATTTTTTTTTTAAATTATTTGTCTAGACCCTCTGCTTCTTCACATTTTAGATAAACATGTAGTTTTCAATGTAACTTAATGATCTTGGTAGAATTTGCAACCAGCAAAARCTCATTTGTACATTAAAAATAATGTGAAGCCTTCTTCTGAGGTGTTTCATGTACCACGTGATGCACAACTTGCTCTGCTAATCGTGGATTAATTTYAAAAGTGCAAAGTTGACCCTTATTTAATGAGGTTAAAAGACTTGGCAAAGATCTCAGAGCAGACCTATAGCAAAGCTGGACATTGTGCTTGCCCACCTTAGGGCTTTAATCATTAAATGACATAGATTCAACAAGGCTGTAAATAGATGTGCTATTGCTCCTTTTAAGTTAATATTTTTACTAAACATTCTGTTTCTAGAGACCTTTCTTTTATTTTGAAATGTTATTTTGCCATAGTGAAGGTTACAGCATTAGGGTTTGTTTCAGCAGTATGAAACAYTTTAAATAAATGTGTGTTGAAGCAACAAAATCAATTGGATTGGTGTTGTCTGGAGAATACTCAGGAACTCTAATTCCAAAACTGCCTCAAGGGGGACTKGCTAGAATGTGTGATGCTGTGTTTTTTCAAACAGCATTTATTAAATCRGAGATCTTGAAAAATGAGCCCATCATAATAAGATGGAAAAAGACCCTGAATACAAGAAAACAAAGGTTGCTTGAATGGATGCTCAGGTCAGATCTGGAGTCTGCCACCAGAATTCAAAACACCACATGGATCATTGATGGATTGTGGGGAAGAGAAGGGAGCTCAGGAAAGGAAATCTTATCTAAAAGCTGTCAAGCAGCAAAGTCCTGCCCAGAGGGAAGTGAAATCTGCRTTATTTTGCTTTCAAGAACAGCCAGGGAGTGAAGCCCAGGAAGTTCATCCCAGTTTGGGAAACAAAAGCAGGACAAGCACGGATTTCCGTCCAGATGCTTTATCCTCAGTTCTCTCAAAGGCAATAAAATGTTCAAGGCAAAGCAGCTCAGTGCTAAATGGTTGAAGGATCTTTGGATTCAGAGAGAGAATTACAAAGAAAATTAATACCCTTTTTTAAAGAGGAAAAGCAAACAGAACAGTACGATAAAGAAATTTTTATTAAAATAACGCCGTGAGTCTCTTGTTAAATAAAAACCAGCATCCAGCAGCCAAGACTGAAATGCTGGGAGGGCTCAGCGTGGTACCCTTGCCCGAAGGGGAAGGGGCACTGGATGGGTGGCGGTGTGACCGG